TCGGTGTGCGTGAAATTAAATGTTTAAAAATTTGCATATTTTATGAGGTGTGTAGCAGATGAAATGAAGATCACCGATCCTTTTAATCTCCTAAACACAGAACAGGGACTTGAAAACATCTGACTACACATTCACTCGACAGGTAACAAAAGCTTGATTCAGTTTTTTTGTTTTAATTGACTCTAAACTATTTAACAGTTCTCTTGTTAAAATGACCACAGTTGCTATATCCCGAGCTGTCAAACACTGAAGAGATGAGTAACTCTACAGTGAACTTCACCATGCCAGAAGCATCTACAAACTCCTCTACACAATCCATCGGGGCACTGGCATTTTCAGAAAGCTGTATATTCAGCATTAGTTTCATCTTTGGAATTCCAACAAACGTCTATGTTATATGGCTCATCATCACAGAAACTAGAAGTGGAGTTGCTTCTGAGTTCTTTAACCTCAATATGTCTGTCTGTGAGATTGCCATCTGTCTGAATTTTTTTTTCTGTGTGCTGCCAATTTTCTTTCCAAATCTTGCACTTTTACCATTATTTCTGCAAGGACTAAACATTGCTGGTCGTGGACTGTTTCAGAGTCTGATATGTGTTGAGCGTTACCTGGCAGTGGTTCGTCCTGTAACCTTTCTGAAGTACAAACCTCTCAGATATAGAGCGATCTGCTGTGCTGTGTCCTGGATGATTATTCTTTGCTCATGTTTCTATAATTTATTTATGAACTCAGAAAATGATAATGCACGTGTGTGGTGCTTCTCGGTGCAGTCCTTCCTCTTCTTCTTCATCCAGTTGTTCTGTCTTGTGGCTGTTCTCAGAGCTCTGAAGCAGTCAGGACCAGGAGAAAGAAAAAGAGAGAAAGAGGAAAACCACATGAAGAGACGAGCGTTTCATCTCATTCTGATAACTACTATTAGCACCGTTACTGCATATGTGCCATTCATTATCACAGGGTATTTCGTAATTCTGACCCAAAACAATTTTGAGGTTTATTGGTTCCCTGGATTGGTTTGTTTTGTTCTCTCTGGTTTTGTTCAGCCTGTTCTTTATCTGCACCGTGCTGGAAAGTTCTCAGTTTCTCCTTGCCTTTGCTCCCTGTAAATGCAGAATTTGTCTGATTCATTTTATGGATGAAATTAAATTAGATTTAAAGTGGTTACCAATGGAATTGCTTGCATGAAAATAAGAATGTCCCACAGCTAACTTCTCTTACTGGTATGTGCGTGTGTGTTACTTGCTCCAGCCTGCTCTTTTAGATTTAAAAATGAATAGATGTTCTGTCATAATTCATTAATAATGGTCAGGACCAAATATTTGACCATGTTATGGTGTCAGTTTTGAATGGATTAATGTATTATGGCATTCCAAGGTAGGTTATTCCAAGAAAACAACCATTGAATAACACGGGCTCATTCAAGAACTTTGAAATCACCTTGACCAGCAATGAAAACATTCAATCCCATATGCTTAAATTCACACCCACATTAACATGAATCGGCTTGTCTGCTACGCATCAAGTTGCCAATAGGCAGTTTGGGCTTTCCGCACATATCAGATTGGATACTCAAGTTTTCTAAGAACTATATAATGGGCTCGTTTCCACTGACTGGTACAGTATGGTACGGTTCAGGTCGGTACGGGTCACCTTTATCAGGCTTGCGTCGACGTCATGCTCGCTGGAAAAAATGTCTACAGTATAGCTGTACGGGTCGTTCATATATCATATGAGAAGCACTTCTCACAAAACAGATTCTATGAACATGATTTGATTACAACTGCATATTAATGACAGTGCAAAATAGCCTACTGTAACGTCTGTAATTATATAAAATAAATATACAAATGCAACATATATAAACACATACAGTCCCTTACAGTCTCAGTTATATTATTAATTACAGAAAAACTACACACATCAAACATTTACTACTTATTTGAGTTCAAAAACACATGCAATATAGCCAACAGACAGCGCAAACCCCTTATCTGTGTCTGTAACCTTCACCAGCACATGTAAGCTCTGTTACAGAGTAATTTTGTCATTCCGAGTTCATAATAGTCCCAAAGGCAAAGATAAACATGGGAGTTTGTTCATGATTTTTTGCTCCAATTTTGCTCCCGTGTTTTGTCGGGCTTTTCTTTTTTCCGCGCTTCACTCTCGTGCTTGTCCTTTTCTTTCTGAATGAATCAGATGACGAAGACACTTCAATAATCACGCACATGTTATTATCATCAGCTCAAGAAAATCATTATTTCAAATATAACGTTAGATGCGATTGCGAGCTCCCGGAAGCAAAACCGCTCGCACTTTTAGAGGGGCTTGTAAATCAACAACAGGACACGGCAAATTTTTCTTCTTGGCTTTGTGTCTGTTCTTCAAGACGACAACAAGGTTTGTTTGAGCCCGGGTCATCCATAGCTCGTTATAATATGCATGTAGTATTTCCATGTAATTTCTCGGCTTTGTATTTAAAAAACATGGCGGTTCCTTTGTTTTCATTCTGTCTAGGTCCACAAGCTCGTGACATATCTCTGTAACCAACCAGCGTTCAGCTGCGCATGTAGCTCTACCTTTTGGTACCCTTTCGAAAGGGTGCCCAAAAAGTGGTACGGTACGATTTGGTTCGGTACGCTTTATGACAGTGGAAACGGCTGGTTTAATAAACATCTCAGTTCTAGACAATTAGTATTTTCTGCCTATTTTTTGAAATCTCAGGTCTTACAGGGTTAACATACATGTATGTATGCTATTACAAAATCACACAAACATGAAGTCAGATTTTTGTCACATGTACAAATATACCCTCATATACCATTTAACAAAATGTATATTTTTCATTTCACTTAAAGATTTTTTTAATTGGCCCAGATTGCTTGGCATACCCGGATAGCAAGATAAGGAGATGCTCTGAAATTCCTCCTCCCTTTCAAAAACACCTGTTGGACTCTATACTACTTTTATACTTTCAATTTCACAATACGAAAGTGTATGTGACAAATAAGACCTGATTTGATATATTTTTTTATTGAATTCATTGTAGAATTTGACATGCTGAGAAGCACTACGGCCCATTAAATTGCTGTAGACTATTGATAACATATTTGCATAAGAGATGCAAAGGTACACTGGAATATAAAACATATTTAGTTGTGAAGGATATTATAATGATATACACTGGCACCTGGACAGGGTCAAACAGTGTGTCTGCACAAAAGAAAAAAAATAATTGTGTTTTCAGCATATTAAACATACAAACAGTAGGGGATTTGGACATGGGCAATATGGGTGATCGCCGAGGGCACCATCTTGCAAAAAAACTCAAGGGAGATGGTGCAGAAAACAAAAACATGCCCCAGTAAAAGCTTTGAGATATCATTTACTTTATGCACAACAATTAATTCAGAGTGGTAATCCCAGAAAAAGACATTAGGGGTCACATTTGGTGTCTTTTGCACTGGAAAGTTTGTTAATCTCTGTGTGCAACCGAAACAACGCCAGTGAAAATAAATTGAAGCATGCATGGAGAAAAGCATTACCGCATGCCTCACACGTGCTGCTTTTGCGCCTGGTGTGAATACCAGTTGTATGCATGCACGTCAATAAAATGCTCTGCTCATGCGCTGAGAAACTGGAGTAAAAGCCTTTAATTCAAAGGTGTCGGGAAGCAGCAAGTTTTGCAAGTCGACAAGTTTATATAATATGATGATGATCTTACTTTGACAAATCATGGCCATAAAACAGAAAGAAGGGATAATAAGTCAGAGAGGTAAGACTTCATAACATTAATTCTTGGCCATGAGTCTGACAAACAAACAAATAATTCTATAAAGAATATTTATTTTATTTTATATAATTGTCATAATTAATATTCATGCTAAATATTTCTTATAGGTTATCTTGACATGTCACATTAGTTTTGTCTTTACATTGTTTTTCAGTTTGATTTCTGTTATTTAACATATTCTTTTACAGTGCCAAGTCATGGAGTGTTTCAACCAGGGTCCCATTCAAAAGCTTGCACCACCACTGCATACAAAGAGAATGTGTTTGTTCATGGTTTTCAAACGGTTTTAAATGAACTGTTAAAACAAATTCTTGAAATTATGCGTTGGTAAAAAAGCTCTTAAAATATATACAAAACGGATGCTTTCTTACATTTGGGTCTATACTATAACTATAATGTACAGTTGTTGTTTTTAATCTTTATATTTTATACCATGCACACATTTAGCATGTAAACTTTTAAAATAATCCCAATATGTTCATAGTATATTCCATGTATTTTACTTGACTCCATAGTGACAAAAACAAAACAATAAACAATAATGTATTATAAAATCATTCTATAATAGTTGCCAAGAACAAATAATAACAGACATTCTTTTTCCAACAAATACAACAGAGTTTCTGTATTAATATTATCCATATTAAGGATGTGATGGAAACATTATTGCATTGAATATAAATCAGAACACATGTCAAATAATTGCCTGTCAGTTGTTTGATGGGTTAGCCAGGTACAAATTTATTTGATTTGTTAATTTGCAATGAATTATCATTCACATAATTTTACTAGAGTTGTATTTAAGGGTCAGTTGATTAATGGTGTGTAAAAATGTATCTTGGAGCACAATTTAAATGCAATTTACCCATATTAGTCTGGTCAAAATGAATTTTAAAAGAAAGTATATACCAAATACCAAATAGTACAGAAAAGTACTTCATGTTCAAATGCAAAATAGATTCATAATATTACCTGAAAAACATCCCATTTCCAAAACCAAATTTATCTTTGTGCAAGTAAACATTTTTCAAGTCAAAGTAAAAGGAGAATTCAAATAAAATCTGATTGAAATAAATGAGATCTGTTCTTTGTTTATTGATAATGATTGACATCTTTTGTAAATGGAATATTACAAAACAATATTTTTCTTTTGACAACCTATCATAATGTGTCATATCTTTAAATGTCCAATCTAAAAATTTGTATATTGTGTGTTTTATGAGACATCAGTAGATGAAATCAAGGTCTCCCAATCACAGGACAGAGAAACATCCAACTGCACATTAAACAGGTGATCAAAACCTTCTTGTTTATAATTGTATTAATTCCATCAATCGTGTTTATATTTATTTACGATGAGAATGAAGCTTAAATGAAGGTTAAATGGAAATACTTACACAATAACTATCATACATATGTTAGCTGTGAAATTACAATGTAACTGTACAATGTTGTTTACTGAAGATATTTAAATATTGTTTTCTTGAATTGATTGACCTTGAATTTGACAATTTTCTCTTACAATGATATTATTGATAGGATTGCTGTTTGTGAGCTGACAAAAACTGAGAAGATGAATAACTTTACAGTGAACTTCACCATACTAGAAACATCCACAAACTCCTCTACTCAATCCATCGGGCCACTGGACCTTCTGGAAGCCTGTATGTACAGCATCGGTTTCATGTTTGGAGTTCCAGCAAACGTGTATAGTTTATGGCTCATCATCACAGGAACTAGTAGTGGAGTTGCTTCTGAGTTCTTCAACTTCAATCTGCTGGTCTGCGAGACAGGCATCTGTCTGAATTATTTATTCACTGTTCTGCCATTTTTCTTTTCAAATCTTGCATTTTTACCACTGTTTCTACAAGGATTGAACATGGCTGGTCGTGGTCTGTTTCAGAGTCTGATTTGTGTTGAGCGTTACCTGGCAGTGGTTCATCCTGTAACCTTTCTGAAGTACAAACCCCTCAGATATAGAGTGATCTGCTGTGCTTCATCCTGGATGATAATTCTTGGCTCTTGTTTTTATAGTTTATTTATAATAGTCTCAAAAGATGATACTGCACGTGTGTGGTGCCTTTCAATACTGTCCCTCTTCTTCTTCTCCATCCAGTTGTTTTGTCTTGTGGCTGTTCTCAGAGTTCTGAAGCAGTCAGGACCAGGAGAGAGAAAGAGACAGAGAGAGGAAAACTCCATGAAGAGACGAGCATTTTATCTCATTCTTTTAACTATTATTAGCATGGTTGTCTCATATGTGGCATTAATGTTTACAGGATATTCCGTAATTCTGGCCCAGAACAATGTTCATGTTTACTGGGTCCCTAGCACAGTTTGTTTTGTTCTCTCTGGTTTTGTTCAGCCTGTTCTTTATCTGCACCGTGCTCGAAAGTTCTCAGTTTCTTCTTGCTTTTGCTCCAATTAAATCTGATTTTTGTCTGATCCATTATATTTATAAAACAGTTTTAAAGTGTTTACTAATGAAATTGCTAGCATGGAAATAAAAATGTCCCACAATTAACTACTCTTAATGGTTTGTATATGTTACTTCTTTAAAGGTCACCTATTTAGCCCTTTTTCAAGATTTAATACAAGTTTTTTGTGTCTCCAAAATGTGTCTGTAAAGGTTCAGCTCAAAACACCAATCAGATTATTTATTATACCTTTTAGAATATTGGAACTTTTTGCCCTGAACACAATTTAGGTGCTTTGTAACCAGGGAATGTGACACTGACAACAGGTTGCGGATCCAAGTGCAGGTTTATTAGGGAGGGCAGGTAAGCAATTGTCAGCACTGGCAAACGCATGCATTTAGGCCAGGGGTGTTCAATCCTGTTCCTGGAGATCTATCCTCCTGCAGATTTAAGTTGCTACCCATATCAAACACACCTGAACCAATTAATTAGGACCTGAACACCACTTGATAATTACAGGCAGGTGTGTTTGATATGGGTAGCAACTGAAATCTGCAGGAAGGTAGATCTCCTGGAACAGGATTGAGCACCCCTGATTTAGGCAATCTAGAAACATTGTCAAAGAAACAGGCGAGTGGTCAGAAGGCAGGCGGCAGACAGGGACAATAGATAAAGTAGGTGAGGATCAAAACACGGTAAAACAAGACAAAGGAAAGGGTTGTACGGTCACCAAACTTGTACCTGGAGGGCTGATGTCTATCAGATTTTAGCTCCAACCCTAATCAAACACATCTGAACAAGCTAATCAAAGCCTTACTAGGTATACTTGAAACACCCAGGCAGGTGTGTTGAGGTAAGTTAGAGCTAAACCCTGAACGGACACCGACCCTCCGGGACCGAGATTGGTGACCCCTGCCTTAACAGATAACAAGACTCAACAACAGTGGTCACAAAACTTGTTCCTGGAGCGCCGGTGTCCTGGAGATTTTAGCTCCAACCCTAATCAAACGCATCTAAGCAAACTAATAAAGGTCTTACTAGGTATAGTTGAAACACCCAGGCAGGTGTGTTGAGGCAAGTTGGAGTTAAATCCTGCAGGGACACCGGCCTTCCAGGCCCAAGATTAGTGACCCTGGCTCAATAACATTTGTGTGCGTTTGTGCTGCTTATGTAATCTATTAATCAGTCCTTGAGCAGCTTCAGCTGTGAGAGTGTAAGCAGTCAGGATCTGGAACTGATTGTGTGTGTTGCATGAATGGGTGTTGTAGTCCATAACATGGCGTATTTGTAGTTCATGTGAATGTGAGTGTATTTACAGTACGATCTCTGGTTGTAGATCGCTGGTGAACGTGATACTGATTTTTCGGCCTGTGCCTTTAATGCTAGTTCTCCCACATGCCTGTCAGAGTGTGCCTCTGGCTGCATACCTCAGATAAACAGTACCATAACAGACATGAAGGAAGCAGATCACATGTAACATTTATGAGAAATGACGATGCGACGATGATAACGATGAAAAAAATATAACTACACGTTGCAATGCCGCGTAGCACAAGCTTTGTGATCGGTTGGCTTTGTAGCGATGAAGAGTGTGGGCAGAGGTGAGAGCCTCGTGAGTCCGTTGGAGCGATTGTTTACAAGTGTGGAGTCTCGTGAAGGAACCCCAGATGGAAAGTTTTGTTTTGTATTCACCTTATGGTTAAAGTTATTGTACGTCTGCTGTAGGGATGCAACGAATAAACAGTTTCACTATTAACCGCAATTTTATTCATCATGGGTAATTAATCGCAAAGGCTTCTCAACACCGCGTTTCTGCACGTAACAAAACTGCAGCAACTAAACAAAGTTATGCCAACTGTGCACTAGTATGTACACCTAGACTAATAACCACGCACACTGGACTAACTATGATTGGGGTTATTAACTAAGGTAAGCTCATGCAAGTTTGTTATTTCCAATGGAGGGACGCGCATGCAATGCAACACCCTCACGCTTTACAAGTGCATCTAGTTGAGATGACAGGGGGCTTCTGTGACTGCAGGAATTGCAAATGGCTGAAGTTTGAGGAAAAACCAATGGAAAGTACAAAGGTTTGCCAACCCACTAAAAGTTACAAACAATGGCACTGATGAGAGCGATCATGTGACTAATGCCAGCCAAGACTAACCGAGTGTTTTCAGAGAAAGTGCTGAACGACTCAAGCCTGTTATACACTGCAAGCGAGAGCAGAGCGTGTTTTTTTTTTTTTTTTTTTTTTTTTTGGCGTCCATGTTTAGAGATTAGAGCTTTCATACTGCATACTGCACGCTGAAGCCGATTGGCCGTCCGCCCAGTCAATCGTTTAGTCAGTTGTTCAGTTGGACAGACGACTCGTCACTCGACAACGGCCTTTGGCGGCTTTTTACGCTAGAACAGCGTGGGCGCGAACAGCAGATTCGCGGAAACAACAAATGAGCAAATACGTACTCCCCCGGACATATTTCACAGTCTCCAGAAACGTCCGCGGGGCTGTTTCCAGAATGAACCTGGGTTGAAATTAGTTCTTGGCTTCTTTAGTACTAAAGATAAGAGTCAGTTTGTTCAAATTTGAGGTGAAACATATCTTGATGAAGAGTGAGTCAATAGCTGTACACTTTAGACCAGGGATGTCAAACTCAATTCCTGGAGGGCCGCAGCCCTCCACAGTTTAGTTCCAACCCTAATTAAACACACCTGATCAAACTAATTGAGTCCTTCAGGCTTGTTTGAAACCTACAGGTTAGTGTGTTGGAGCAGGGTTGGAACTAAACTGTGTGGGGCTGCAGCCCTCCAGGAATTAAGTTTGACATCCCTGCTTTAGACAGTTACTGGCACCTGACGCCATCTTAAAAATAAAAGTTTTTAATAGCAACTTCAAATAGAACGTTTTGCATCCATGGGACATTTTGATTCGTTTAAAGATTCTTAAGAGTGTAAAATGTGTATGTGTGTGTGTATAAACTCATATAAAGACTGCACACTGCCCCCCACTTTACTATATTTGCATATTGTGTGCAGAGAAATATAATCACACACGGTATATTCTTGCGACACTTGTTAAGTCAGTCAAGAAAACAGCACAGAGATTTTAATACATTCAGAGAAACTGGACATGCCTTCAGGTAATGAACTTTTCGACATTTTCTACATAAATGTATTTGTTTGTTATTTATAATAGAATGTCAATGCACAAGTATTGTGTGTGTTGGATTAGGAATCTATTGATTGGTTTTTAAACTTGATATTATTTGTATGCAATCAAGCTACGCTGCCTCAATCATTTTGACTTGAATGTTGTGTTTGAAGGATTTTACCTTTTCATCTATCTATCTATCTATCTATCTATCTATCTATCTATCTATCTATCTATCTATCTATCTATCTATCTATCTATCTATCTATCTATCTATCTATCTATCTATCTAACAGTGTTTCATAATTGGAAAATGTCCTTAGAATCGACAGCAAAACCCATGACATTTCCGCTCAGACTTTGCCATTTAAATGCTAAGTTAACTCAGAAACACAAATCATCTTCTGCGTTCAGATGAATAAAGAAACTTTGAATAAATGGTAAATAAACAATGAAAGCTTTTAGTGAACATTTTTTCATACTTTTTGGCCTTATAGATCACAAGCCTGCAATATTAAACATTGGTTTGGTGATCCTGTGTGGAGGAAGATGGGCTTGATGGATAACTCCACGGTGAACTTCACATCTGCGATTTCTGAAAACTTTGTTTCTCCATCCAGTGTGCTACTTACTAATGTGAAGAACTGTATACACGCTCTCAATTTTCTGGTTGGTCTTCCTACACACTCCTATGTTTTATGGCTCATCGTCACAGGAAGACAAAACAGAATTGCATCAGAATTCTTCCACCTCAATCTCTCAGTTTGTGAGATTATTAACTGTCTGAATTGTTTGTTCGCTGTACTTTTTACCTTTCCTTTGTTTTCAGGTTTCACAGCATTCATCTATTTTACAATTGGATTTGCTATCACGGGTCGTCCTCTGTTTCAGTGTTTGATGTGTGTAGAGCGTTACCTGGCTGTGGTTCGTCCTGTAACATATCTGAAATACAAACCTCTCAGATATAGACTGATCTGCTGCACTGCAGCCTGGATAATCACTCTCGTCTCCTGTTTGTGCTGCATGCTTACTTTGCTCTTACTTCACATTTATGCGTATGCAGTGATAAACTCAACTCAGTTCCTCCTCTTCATCTCCATCCAGTTGTTTTGTCTTGTGGCTGTTCTCAGAGCTCTGAAGCAGTCAGGACCAGGAGAGAGAAAGAAAGAGGAAAACCACATGAAGAGAAGAGCGTTTCATATTATTTTAATAACTACACTGAGCATGTCTGTTACATATATTCCATTTACTCTGTCAACATTCTTTTACTTCCTGACACACAATTTTGATGATCCTGTGTCCGTTAGTGTTATTTGTTTTATCCTGGCTGGTTTTATTCAACCTATTCTTTATTTGCATTCGGCTGGAAAACTCTTGTGTGTCTGTTCCTCCTAAAATCAGTGATCGTGATACATTACGTCTTCATTTTTGTCTTTGCTTTTAAATTATGGATGGCATACCTCTCAACCCTACCGTTTTTCCTACCGATTCTCCCATATTTCCTATTCAATATTTTATTCCTATTCAACTCTATTTTTAATCTTTCTATGAAAGATGGATGCAACATATACATACATATACATCCCTATACACATACCGAACATTATAGAATAATATAATCTCTACCACCAAATCACCAGGGGCTGCACTTTGTTCTCAAAGTTTTAATGTCACTATGCGTCTCTTTGCAGATGTGATACACTGACAAGAGCTTTTCAAGAGAATTATACTTTCACTCTATCTTGGCTCAAACTCCATTCTGTGTTCTCGCAGTTTTCTCGGCCCCTATTCTCTGCAGTCTTAGTATTGATTGAAATGGTTATAATTATGGCCACCTTCCTTCCTTTCCATTAAAGCCCAGCTCCATTGACCTTTCTATGAATCTGTCAATTTATGTAACTGTGTAGACATAGTCTGTAGTTATGAAGAGATGCTGT